TTGCATGGAGGGGATTGTAACCATGGCAATGAGACGATATACGATGGAATGAATGTAAAGGTAATATTCTCCCATGTAAACTATCACATAATTCACAATAAATCATTTAAAAAGAAAAGAAATCAATCGACGTATTGCATTAGGTGAATCTGCTGCATAAAATATCTTTAAAGTGTTCAAGAGCAAAGATGTCAGCTTTAGGTGCACCTGACCCAAGTCATGGTGTTTTCAATAACTTCATATAAAATTTGGACAATGGAAGACTGTAGAAGAATTGATGTAGTTGGTTTATAATGTTGGAGAAGATTGTTGAAAGTACCACGGACTGTCGGAAAAACAAACAAATTTATACTGGAGGAAGTGCAGCTAGAATGATCCTTAGAATCCAGGATGGCTAGATTTCGTTTCCAATGCTTCAGACATATTATCAGGAGGGACCAGTCCCTGGAGAAGGACATCATGCTTGTAAAGTGGAGAGTCAGTGAAAAAGAGGAAGACCCCCAATAACATAGATTGGCTCAATGGCCACAGCCATGCATTCAAGTGTGGCAATGATTGTGAGCTTAGTGCAGGACTGAGCAATATTCGTTTTGTTGTGCACAAGGTCGCTTTTGTCGGTTACAACTCGATAGCACTTAACCACAAGTGTATAACATCCTTTAGTCTTCATCATAGTACCATGAAGTAATGGGTGTTATCCTAATGGCAAAAAAGAAGATAAGGAGGCAGAGGGAAGGAATGAGACTTGTTCCATGTTACACAGCTTGTGATGGCAGAGACAGAATCCATATCCAGGCATTATAGTCTTGAAGCCCACACCTTTGACCAATGCACTACTGGCAAAGTATATGCTTTAATGTATATTTTAAAAAATATATAGAGGTAATTAGTGGAGAAACTTGCACTAGAATACAGTACTTTTTCCACTTTATCATCCTGTCGTTAATATTGTTTCTTGAATTTGACTTTTTGTAGTACCCAAGAAAGTCCAAATGTTTCCATTTGTTGTTGTTGTTGTTATGTGCCATCGAGTCGGTTCCGACCCATAGCGACCCTGTATAGGGTTTATAGAAGCTTCTTTATAAACTTATTGGGTGGAATAAATGAGTTAATGCATATAAGGCACTTAGAACAGAATCTGGCTCTTAGGGAGAATTCAATAAATCTTAGTTATTAACCTGAAGAATTGCTTAAGTCAGCCAAATGATCTCCTCTCTGTGGCTGAGGCAGTGTATATATTGTTGAACTCTTTCCAACTGGAAAGGGTCCTTGAACATCCTAAGTGGTAGAAGGAACAAAGCCATTTTCCTGGTAGATGATAAATGTACTCAACTCCCAAGCACATACTGAGTGGCTGGCTTCCAAGAGAAAGAAGCAGTTTGTGTCAAGCACAGTGGGGCCAATTTAAGTCTGCATTATAGTGAGATGCTTTGGCATCTGCCTTCATGTTTCCTTGCCTAACTCTGGCATGAAGCCACCAAATAACACATTTGCCAGTGTTCCCATGGTTGCTGTTCTCTAAGTTGTTAATTATTATTCTGAGTAAAGATGGTTTTTAACAATTGGACTTTGTGACACATCTCAGAGCACAAAGGAAATATAGGACTCCATTCTCTCAGGTGAGTTTTCTGTTTTAAACTTGTAATTTTTTTCTTTTTCATAGGCCAGGAACCATCACTCTGCAAGCCCTCTCTGAAGCTAACAGAAGGCTATGGATGGAGGCCATGGATGGGAAAGAACCTGTAAGTTAGCTGTGATACTAGGGAAACCTCCATGTTTGAGTGCCCTCTAGTGGTTATCAGTGGTTTTAGGACAATTAGTTAATGGTAAAAGATTCCTCAAATACCAAATTTTAGAGCTTGAAGAATTGTTTAACCAGTAAGGCAACTTGAGTTCCAGAGAGGTAAGGGATTTGTCCAGGACCAGCCCCAGAGAAGGCATCAAATCTGGACCTGGAATCCAGGTTTCTCAGCTTCTGGATCTAGTGTTATACTATGTGACCTGCCAATATCTTGAAAATCAGATTTCTTCAGATTTTAAATATATGAGAGGATGTCAAAAAGTTCATGGAAAAATTAAATGAAAAGATAATGGAACCTTTCCATGAACTTTTGGAAGCCCCTTTGTATTTTCTTGTAGAAGGATGGAAAATAATTGCCATGGCTGTGAACAAGCATTTATTAAGCCTTTATTCAAATTGATTTTGCTGTACCTCTCTTATCAATTTATTCTCTTTAAGGGTACATCTAGTAGAGGGCATGGCTTTTCCATTCTGTATCTCAAGAAGTGTTGTTCCGTTTAAAATATGATTACAGAGGAGGGTTAGGGATCTTTAAAAGACTAATATGAAAAGTCGGAAATCATTGAAAAGTAGCTTTTCTTCAATATCTTTCTAGTAAGTTTCTTCTAGTGACATATGAAATAATTGCAACTTCCTTATTTTTTAATCATAAAAGCCTGATTTTATATACTGGATGTGTCATTCAATAATTGTGTGATCTTAACCAAGTTATTTTACCTCTCTGAGATTCAGTTTTCTCTTCAGTAAAATGATCTGGTAATTTTTTTTCCCCTTACCTCACAGGGTTGTTTTTTTTTTTTTTTTTTTTGTGGTGTTGTAGTTTCCTATATATTTTAGAAATAAGTCCCTTGTCTCATGTGTCATTGAAAAATATCTTTTTCCATTCTGTGGGTTCCCTTTTTACTCTTCTGGTGAAGTCTTTTGAGACACATAAGTTTTAATTTTTAGTATGTCCCACTCATCTATTTTGTCTACTTTTGTTTGTGTAGTTTTCAAAATTTTTGGTAGTCTGTTTATTCCCTGAACTAGGGCCTTCACATTTGTTCCTATTTTTCCATTGATAGCCTTCATAATTCTGGAATTCACATTTAGGTCTTTAATCCATGTGGAGTTGGTTTTTGTATAAGGCCTTGAGGTAAAGGTCTATTTTCAATCTTTTGCATATTGATTTCCAGTTCTGCCAGCACCATCTGTTGAAGAGATTATCACCTCTCCATGTGATATATTTAGGTATTTTGTCAAAAACCAGTTGGATGTATGTGATGGGTTAATTTCTGGATTCTCAATTCTGTTCCATTGATCTATGTATTTTTCAGTGTACCAGTACCAAGCTGTTTTGACCACTGTAGCTGTGTAGTAAATTTTGAAGTCAGGGAGTGAGAGGTTTCCAACCTTATTTTTCTTCTTAAGCAGTGGTTTGCTTATCCTGGGTCTCTTTCCTTTCCATATAAAGTTTGTACTTGTTTTTTCCATCTCTTTGAAGAATGTTGTTGGAATCTGGTTTGTGATTGCATTATACGTGTAAATTGCTTTGGGCAGTATTGATATTTTCACAATATTAAGTCTTCCTATCCAGGAGCATGGTACATTCTTCCATTTTTGTAGGTTTCTTTTGGTTTCTTGTAGTAGTGTTTTGTAGTTTTCTTTGTATAATTCCTTTGTTTCTCTGGTTACATTTATTCCTAGATATTTCATCGTTTGGGTAGCTATTTTAAATGATATTGCTTTCCTAATGTCCTTTTCAACACTGTCGGTTTTGGTATAGAAGAATCCAGCTGATTTTTGTATGTTGATCTTATATCCTGCCACTTTGCTGAAGTTTCTAATGAGGTCTAGTAGCTTTTTTACTGAGTCTTTGGGGTTTTCCACATATAGGATCATATCATCTGCAAATAGAGAGAGTTTTACTTCCTCTTTGCCAATTTGGATGCCTTTAATTTCCCTGTCTTGCCATATAGCTCTTGCTAAGACTTCCAGCACAATATTGAATAGGAGTGGTGACAAAGGGCATCCTTATCTGGTTCCTGTTCCCAGAGAGAAGGCTTTCAGTTTCTCTTCATTGAGAGTAATGTAGTCTGTTGGTTTTGTATATATGCTCTTAATTATGTTGAAGAATTTCCCTTCAATTCCTATTTTGTTGAATGTTTTTATCAGGAATTGATGTTGTATTTTGTCAAATGCCTTTTCTGCATTAGTTGATATGATCATGTGGTTCTTTTCTTTTTCCTTATTTATATGGTGGATAATGTTGATTGTTTTTCTAATGTTGAAAAATCCTTACATTCCTCACAGGGTTGTTTTGAAAAAACAAATGAAAGAGTCTATAAACCATGATGTGCTGTTAGTTGCATGGGTCTCTTTTAAATGGGCACACCTTTCCACAGAGAAACACACCCTAACTATTCTTTGGGATAGTGAAGTTGGTATTAGGGACATTTGTATTTTGCCATCAAATCCGTTTGCCCAGAGATGCATGAGAAAACTACTCTCTTTCTCTCATATGATTTTTTTTCTTCATCATAAAAATCCTCAATGCTTTACTTAAGTAAATGTCTAAGATGGATAGGCTACAACTTCAGGTACAGTAAGCTGTTATGCATCCTCGTACAGTTTTCAGGGACTGTTAATCAGTCTGTTTCCTCATAACCTGGCAAAGAAGATTCAAATATGAAGTGTTGAAAAGTTCTAAAAATGAAGTTTCTTTTTGTTAAAGCCCTAGAGTCTAATGATTTTGATGACTTGCGGAAGAGATTTTATAACAGCCCTTATCTATCTTTAGTGAGTCATATAACCCATGGCTCTTTTTGTTTCTCTTCTCTTCTAGATCTACCACAGCCCCATAACAAAACAGGAAGAAAGTGAGTCATTCAAATTTCTGTTCTCTTGACATTATAAACTGCCAACTGTCCTATAACAATAAATGCTGTCATTAATGATATAATATTGATGCAAGATTGTATATGGTTGCCTCTATGTGGAATAAGAATCAGATCTATTTGTTTTAAAAGGGTCTATTGATTAAACTGAAAAAGTCACTCCTGTTGTGGTGCTTTAGGATAAGTACAGGATTGCTAACAACAAGGTTGGTGGTTCAAATACAACAGCTGCTCCTCGGCAACCTTATACAGGGTTGTTCTGAGTTGGAACCAACTTGATGGCACTTAACAACAACAGCATGAAGAGGGTAATAGTTTCTTTATACGTAAAGAAACATGTATATTCTTCTTTTAAATCTGAGCACATGATAGAAACTTTGTTCATTTCTAGGCTATCATTTAACATTTGATGCCTAAAATAGACATAAAAGAAAGGGCAAGCTAAAATAATGTTTTAGTTATAATATTTAAAACTATAAATCTCCTTTTAATAAAATGAACTTTCTTCCATTTCAGAGTGACTGGAAAAAAAGGACTAAGCTCCTAGATATCTATCTAGACTCCCTTTGAATGATCAGTGAATGTTTGGTAGGCGAAGCTTGTTGCAGTAGGTCTAATTTTGCTTTTTTTTTGCTTTGAAACAGTGGAGCTGAATGAAGTGGGGTTCAAGTTTGTTAGAAAGTGCATCAATATCATTGAGACCAAAGGTAAGGTATGAACTATAAACCTTGGCAGCATTTGAATCTGGTCGCTGTGATTTTATCCTGGGGTAATTTTTCTAAAGTAGACCCATTTTAGGAATGTACTCTATTTATAAACCTTCATACTAGATGCAATCAGTACACTTTCAGCAAATTCTAAACAAGAAATATCCAAGCATATTTAGATAATTTATGGGTTCATGCTTTTATGACGTAAGAGCTTCAAATGACTTATAAAGTATTCTGAAATAGTACTATACTCCTCAAGTTGTGTTATGATCCTAAATAAAAGTCTAATATCTTCTATAATACACACTGGTTTAAAAATTGATAGGTCAAAGCTAAACTCAGGCAAATGCAGAACCAGAATTGTTTCTTAACTGACAATACTTCTTAGTTTTCCTTGGAAGGTCACTTGAAATATGAATACGTAGAGATAAGCCACTTATTTTCTTTGAAATAATGTTTCCATATTTCTTAGCACATGTAATAACCTTTTTTCTTCCTTAATACTCTAGCCCTCTCCTCCTTTATGTTACTGTTCAAAGGCAGCTTGAAAGTTGTCTGTTGGTGTAGCACTGTGGATCAGAACTGGACTGTGCACCACAAGCAGTTCAAATCCACCATGGCACTTAACAACAACAACAGCAAGTGACTGACTACTTTCTGTGTATACTGGTTTCAGTGTATAAAGTACCTGCTGTCTCTACTCTGGTGAAATGAAATATCCATACAAACAAAACTAATTTGTCTTTTTCTCCATAGGGATCAAGACAGAGGGGTTGTACCGCACTGTGGGCAGCAATATTCAGGTTCAGAAGCTGCTGAATGCCTTTTTTGGTAACAATTTTACCTTCAAAGTTCTTATTGGGAGGAAGTTATGTATTAAAAAGAAATTTGACACTATGGAAAGAGAGACATTGGAATATGTTTTGTTGTTTTACTTTTTGCAGTGTTGTGTAACCATTACCACTGTCTTAGTTATCTAGCACTGTTATAACAGAAATATCACCATTGGATGCCTTTAATAAGCAGAAATTTATTCTCTCATAGTTTTGGAGACTAGAAGTCCAAATTGAGAATACCAGCTCTAGGAGAAGACTTTCTATCTCTTTTGGCTTTGGAGAAAGGTCCTTGTTTCCTTTTAGCATCTGTAGGCCGAGCATTCCTTGGAGAGTTCCATGCTTCTTGGTATCAATCTTTTCCTGGATCTAGGAACTTCACAGCTCAGGAACTCCAGGTCCAAAGGATGTACTCCATTCCTGGCTTTGCTGTCTTGGTGGTAGTAGCTCTCTCTGATCTTTGCTTGCTTATTTAATCTCTTTTTAGTCAATTAAAAGATATTGACATAAGATACAACCTAATTGTACCTTTTGCATCTGACCTCATTAACATTGTAGAAGTGAGGAGTTACAACACATAGAATAATTACATCAGATATATAAATATATAAATCATGGGGATGATTTCTAGATTACATCCTATTAGATCTCATCATGGAGATGATTGCTACATCTTTACTGCTAAAGTATTGAGAATCCTAACCCAGTCGATTTGAAGCAAAACCTTAACAATCACAACGACTGTTTCTAAAAATCTCTATCCTCTATAACAGGAACTCAGTACTCCTTAAGCAGTACCTCCCATTCCTTTTCTTTCTAGTGCATGGTAATTACTCATCTACTTTCATCTGTACACATTTGCCAATTCTGCATGTTTCATATGGCTGGCTGGCTGTGTGCCGTGGAGTCGGTTCCGACCCAAAGCGACCCTGTACAGGGTTTCCGAGGCTATAAATCTTTACAGGAGCAGAATGCCTCATCTTTCTCCTGCGAAACAGCTGGTAGTTTCGAACTGCTGACCTTGCAGTTTGCAGCCTGATTCGTAACCACTATGCTACCAGAACTCCTTATGTTTCACATACGTGGGATCATTATAATATTTGACCTTTTGCATGTGACTCATTTCACTTAATGTAATGTTTTAAAAGTTCATTCATGAATTAGACCTGCATTTCTCTCTCTTTATATTTGTATGCTATTCCTGTATATGTATGTACATATACAGACACACCCATGAAGTTAAGTAAAAAAATATTGCCAGTAGGGATCCAGTTCATACATGTGTAGGTTTAAACAAGTTTTCTCAGCAATACACATGTCTTTGTTTCATTAAGGAGTCCGATCAAAACATTGGCTTCTGAGAGGATCTATGTGGCCATTTAAATTCAAGACAGAGAAGTCAGCTGTCATAATGACCGTGTTTTAGGGAATCCTAAAACACGGTCATCATGATAGATTTTCTTGAAGGACACAGGATGGTCACAGGGACTTATTATAAAGAACATTTAAGAAAATTAAAAGTTACATTGGTGAGAAAAACCCAGGAAAGTTGTGCCAAGGAAGTTTTTTCTTCATAACCATTCAGGGGTAACAAGGGGGTGTCCTGCAAGAATGTTGTTGGGAAATCATACCTATCCACTCTAGAGCCCTGATCTTGCCCCTTCAGATTTCTTTTTGTTGCTAAAAGTCAGAGAACACTGAAAAGGTACAAGATTTGAGTCCTTTTGTTGTTGTTGTTAGGTGCCATCAAGTCGGTACTGATCCATAGCAACCTTATGCACAGCAGAACAAAACACTGCCTGATTCTGGGCCAACCTCACTATTATTGCCACACTTGAGTCCATCAGTGCTGCCACTTGGCCAATCCATCTCATTGGGGGTCTTCCTCTTTTTCTCTGACTCTCCACCTTACCAAACATGATATCCTTCTCCAGTGACTGGTCCTTCCTGACAATATGTCCGAAGTATGAGAGATGAAGTTTGGCCATTTTGGCCTCCAAGGAGCACTCTGGTTACACTTCTTCCAAAATGGATCTATTGGTTCTTTTGGCAGCCCATGGCACCTTCAGTACTCTCCTCCAGTATCATAACTGAAAAGCATCAATTCTTGTATGGTCTTCCTTATCCACTGTCAAGCTTTCGCATGCATATGAGGTTATTGAAAATACCATGGCTTGGATCAGGCGCACCTTAGTCTTCAAGCTGACATCTTTGCTCTTCAACACTTTAAAAAAAGTCTTGTGCAGCAGATTTGCCTAATGCAATATGTCATTGGATTTCTTGACTGCTGCTTCCGTGAGTGTTGATAAGTTGACTCAAGAAGAATGAAGTCCTTGGCAACTTCAATCTTTTCTCTGTTGATAAGGTGGTGAGGATTTTTGTTTTCTTTACATTGAGATGTAATCCATATCGAAAGCTGTGCTCTTTGATCTTCATCAGTAAATGTTTTAAGTCCTCTTCACTTTCAGCAAAGCAACGTTGTATCATCTGCATATCGCAGGTTGTTAATGAGTCTTCCTCCAATCCTGATGCCACATTTTTCTTCATATAACCCAGGTTCTTGGATTATTTGCTCAACATATAGGTTGAATAAGTATGGTAAAAGAATATAGCCTTGTCACACACCCTTCTTAATTTTAAAACATTCAGTGTTCCCATGTTCTGTTCGAACAACTGCCTCTTGGTCCAGGTACAGATTCCTCATGAGCACAATTAAGTGTTCAGGAATACTTATACTTCGCAATGTTGTCCGTAGCTTGTCATGATCCATACAATCGAAAGCCTTTGCATAGTCAATAAAGCACAGGTAAACATCTTTCTAATATTCTCTGCTTTCAACCAAGATCCATCGGGCATCAACAGTGGTATCCCTCATTCCACGGCCTCTTCTGAATCCGGCTTGAACCTCTGAAAGTTCTCTGTCAATGTATGATTGTAGCCATTTCTGTATTGCCTTTAGCAAAACTTACTTTGATATATCAAAGAGATTGTCCGATGATTTCCGCATTCCGTTGGGTCACCTCTCTTTGGAATGGGCACAAATACAGAGCTCTTCCAATCACACTCCCAGAGAGTTGTGTTCCAAATTTCTGGGCATAGATGAATGAGTGCCTCCTTTGCCACCTCACTTTCTTGAAAGATTTCTATTTTTATTCCGTCAATTCCTGGTGCCTTGTTCTTTGCCAACTCCTTCAATGCACCTTGGACTTCCTCCTTCAGTATCATTGGCTCTTGGTCATATGCTACTTCTTGAAATGGTTGAACATTAACCATTTCCTTTTGGTACAGTGACTGTGTATTCATTCCATCTTCTCTTGATGCATCATTCAATAATTTGCCCAGTGAATCTTTCAATAATGAAAGTCAAGGCTTGAATTTTTTCTTCAGTTCCCCCAGCTTGAGAAATGCTGAGTGTGTTCTTCCTTTTTGGTTTTCTGACTTCAGATTTTTGCACATTTTGTTGTAATATTTGGCTTTATCTTCTCGAGCTGACCTTTGAAATTTTCTGTTCAGCTCTTGGAACTCCTCATTTCTTCCATTTGCTTTAGTGTCTCTATGCTGGAGAGCAAGTTTCAGTGTCTCTTCTGACATCCATTTTGACCTTTTCCTTCTTTCTTGTCTTCTCAACAAATTTGTGCTTTCTTCATGTACGATGTTTTTTATGTCATCCCACAACTCTTCTGGTCTATGGTCTTTAGTGTTTAATGTATCAAATCTGTTCTTCAGGTGATCTCTAAATTCAGGTGGGATATTTTCAAGGTCATATTTTGGCTCTCGTGGACTTGTTCTCATTTTCTTCAGGTTCAGTTTGAATTTGCATATGAGTAATTGATGGTCTGTTCCACAGTCTGCACGTGGTCTTGTTTTGACTGATGATATGGAGCTTTTCCATTGTCTCCCAGATTCATACTTTGTACATTCCTTGTTCCGATTTTCAATGGATGTTTACATCTGTTTCTCTTCATTTTGAGTTGTGCCCATCAGCAAATGAAGGTCCCTCCTGCGGGTTTTTCTCCCATGAGCTTTACTCCATTTGCTTTATCATGGTTAACTCTACTTTGAGGAGGCAGCTCTTCCCCAGTCGCATTTTGAGTGCCTTCCAAGCTCAGGGGCTCATTTTCCGTCACTATATATGACAGTGTTTCTCTGCTATTCATAAGGTTTTCAGTAACTAAAAATTCAGAAGTAGTTTGTCAGTCTGTCTTCCTAGTCTGTCTTTGACTGGAAGCTCTTCTGAAACCTGTCCACCATGGTTGACCCTGCTGGTATTTAAAATACCAGTGGCATAGCTTTCAGTATCACAGCAACTCACAGGCCACCAGTCCTTAGGGGTTGTGCAAACTGCCATTTTGTTGAGGTATCAATTGAAGAGCACAGGATTCTTCAGGGTGTTAGAAAGATGGGAACACTACCTGCAGAAGTGTATAAATCTAGATGGTGGGAATGTTGAGAAACAGTGCTTTCTCATTTTGATATTATTGTTTAATAAAGATTTCTATGATTTTGCAGTGCTACCATCTTTTACAAAAAGAAATCTGAAGGGGCAAGATCAGGGCTATAGAGTGGGTAGATATGAATTTGTAGCACTACCATCTTTTACAAGGTGCTCTGGTAGCATAGTGGTTATGAATTGGGCTGTGAACTGCAAGGTCAGCATTTTGAAACTACCAGCTGTTCCGCGGGAGAAAGATGAGGCTTTCTGCTCCTGTAGTTTACCATTGACTTTAATTACTGGTAGTATTAGAAGACATCCTAAGGATTTCAGAATATAATCTTTCTTTACCACTATTATATAATAGCAATTTGATTTTCTGTTTGAAATCAGGATCAATCACACCACCCTTCTTTGTTGATTCAGAGGCATGTGGAGCCCAAGTGACCAGGGGGCATTCTTAAGTTAGCAATTAATTGAATCAGTGTTATGTCCACAGGTGGGACATTATTTTTAGATGTGTAGATATTTTCATGTTTATATATAGATAGATAAAGCTCATTCAC